ACCGGCGAAGTTGAAGCGGTGGCGCTCTGATCTATGCGCCGCCCGAGTAAGGGTTTAGGGTTTAGGGTTTAGGGTCTGCTTCTTGCCTTCTGAACCTCTTCGTTCATGAAGGCTTCCTTCTTAGCGAATAGCTCGCGGAATTGCTGCAGAGAAAACACTAAGCCCTTAGCCGCAAACCCTAAACCCTAAACCCTAAACCCTAAATAATAAGCTGTAAACCCCAAACCCTAAACCCTAAACCCTAGACGGCAAACCCTAAACCCTCGCAGGCTGCACAAGTGCTCCAGCTTGAGGGCGCATCTTTCGCGTGGGGAACAGCCTCGGCTTCGGGTCAAAGGCGAAAGCTTAGGGTTTAGGGTTTAGGGTTTAGGGTTTACGTCGACGATTGATTCTTTGTCTTCTTTATTAAACCCTAATTCTTTTTTAATTAACTTCAGCTGCTCATGCAGCAAAAACTTCCGCTGCACTCTCATCACTTTGTCTTCAACTTGCGCCTTCACGTGGACCTGCGCCGCGAATTCTAAACCCTAAACCCTAAACCCTAAACCCTAAACCCTAAACCCTAGGTGTTTCGGGGAGAGGGAAGCGTGGGCAGCAGAAACATCAGGCTTTTAAAACTGTTGGTGCAGTGCTTTGGGCATGGAGGGTTTAAGGCTAGGGTTGAGGGTTTAGGGTTTAGGGTTTACACTTACTTGTAGCTTGGCAAATTCCAAGTCCTTCTTTGCAATCTGTAGAACGAGCATCAGCCGCTTTTCAATATCCTCCTCCTGAACAAGCAAACCCTAAACCCTAAACCCTAGCTCTAAACCCTAAGCCCTAAACCCTAAACCCTCAGCATGGACCAACAGCCCTAAACCCCATCCTTAAAGACCAGCGTTCCAGCTTGACTATCTCCGCGCTGCAGCTGCACGGCCGCCTGGAAAATAGAGTCAAGGGTTTAGGGTTTAGGGTTTAGGGTTTAGGGTTTACGGCAAGAACAGCCTGCAGCTCGTCCCGTCGGGCGAAAGAAATCCCAGCCACCAAATCCGCCAGCTTCTGGGGGTAGTCGATGTTGTAAAACCTTATAACCTAGACTCAAACCCTAAACCCTAAACCCTAAACCCTAAACCCTAAACCCTAACCGTAAACCCTAGGCCATGAGCTTTGGTGACTCCGCCCTAAACCCTAAACCCTAAACCCTAGGCGCTGGCTACTTCCGTTGGCTTCGCAGTACGACGTAGCCAGCAGCCCAGGCTGCCTCGGCCTCAAACCCTAAACCCTAAACCCTAAACCCTAAACCCTAAACCCTAACCCTCACTTGATCGAAGTGTTCTTTGTAAAAGTAGGATGTTTTAAGCAGCTCCTTCATGGTGGCTAATATCTCCAAATGCAGCATTCTAATTATGTTGTTGCTGTTGTTGTTGCTGCTGCTGCTGCTGCTGCTAGGACCCTCGCTGCTGCTTAGAGACGCAGAGGCAGACTCGCGGGGAAATGACACAGAGACATAAAGCAAAGCACTTTTGCTGCTGCTGCTGCTGCTGCTGCTGCTGCTGCTGCTGCTGGGATGGGGTAGAGGCAGCAAACTCCCAAGCTGCGAACCCGCAAGATCATCGACCCCCTGCTGCTGCTGCTGCTGCTCGTTTTGCTGCTGTTGCTGCTCCTGTTGCTGCTGCTGTCGCTGCTGCTGCTCCTGTGAATCCAACTCTACCTGCTTCTCAGCTCCCTGCTGCTGTTGCTGCTGCTGCTGCTGCTGCTCAGAAGCAGCTGCTGCAGCATCAGTGTGCTGCTCGCCTGCTGCTGCTTCCTCTGACTCGACAGCAGCAGCCGTTGCTGCTGCTGGGGCCGCTGCTGCAGTGGGCTCTGCTGCTGCTGCTGCTGCTGCAGCGGCTGCTGCTGCTGCTGCTGCAGCTTCTTCTGGTGACTGAGAAAGGCCCAGTAGCTTGATGCTGAGAAATTGAAAGCCCTAAACCCTAAACCCTAAACCCTACAATCCTAAACCCTAGACCCTAAACCTTAACCGCTAAACCCAATACCCTAATTGCATAAGCCTGCTGCGTGCGAAAGAGCTTGCGCTTCTAACAGCGTATTAGGGTTTAGGGTTTAGGGTTTGGCAGCTAGGGTTCCGAGTCCCGCAGAAATGTTTAGGGCTTGCAATTCCGCTGCTTCCGGCTCCGGCAGCAGCTTGAGCTGCAGGGGCTGCGAGGGTTTAGCGCCCCGGGCAGACGCTCTAGGGTTTAGGGTTTAGGGTTTAGGGTTTACCGGCGATAAGGCATTACTATGGCCTGGCCCCCCCGCTGCATTGGGTGTGGGGCCAAAGTGAGGAGGTGCAGCAAACAGCCCACATTATGGATTTCATCTACAGAAGAAATGCTCCCTAAACGCAAACCCTAAACCCTAAACCCTAAACCCTAAACCCTAAACCCCAAACCCTTTCGCCTGCGCTGCGCGCGCAGCCCTAGCCGACGAACCGCAGAAACGCCCAAACCCTAAGCCCCAAACTCTGCGGCGCTCCCCGGCGGCAGAATCCGCAGCCCCAAACCCTAAACCCTAAACCCTAAACCCTAAACCCTAAACCCTAACCTGCGTCTTCCCGCAGCCGCGCCCCTGGCTCCAATTCGTCTTCAGGGTTTATTTCTTTCCGCAGCAAAAAACCCCCGACGAAGTCTCTCCAGCCGCCGCTGGTCTTTAGCCGCACCAGTTCTTCAAACAACTGAGCCAAACCCTAAACCCTAAACCCTAAACCCTAAACCCTAAACCCTAAACCCTAGGCGGTGGAGAACCGCAGCCGCAACAAACGCAGGTCTCGAAGCAAGCTGCTGTCGCTGTGCGACAGCCCTTCCGTCCCCCGCAAACCCTAAACCCTAAACCCCAGAACGCAAACCCTAAACCCTAAACCCTAAACCCTAAACCCTAAACCCTAACCTCTTGGTCCGGTATCTGCAGCAGCTGATAAAACCCCGGAAAGGCGGGGCGACGGATAAGGCCAATTGCAGGAAGAGAAGGAAGGCTAGGGGGAGCAGCAGCAGAAACAATAGAAGATATGTTGCTGCTGTCGCTGCCCCACGAGCCTGCTGCTGCTGCTGCTGCTGCTGCTGCTGCTGCTGCTGGGTCTGGGTCTGCAGGGGGCCCAGGGGGCTGCGCGCCTGCTGCTGCTGCTGCGGGGGGATCCGCGCCTTGCTGCTGCTGCTGCTGCCGGTTGCGGCGCAGCAGCCGACCGATTCGGGCTGGAGAGGCCTCTGCTGCTGCTGCTGGTGGTGGGGGG